CCGCCTCCCTCCAGGCCAGAGTCAGAGGGACCCACTGGCTGGTGAGTTTGTCTGGTTTTCACACTTGGTAGTTGCTCACTACAGGAAAGAATTCCTGCCCCAGGAGCGAGGTGCTGGGAGTCTCCCAGCGGGTAGGTGGGTTCACGTCCCCTGAGAGCAGTGCTGTCGGCACCTCTGCTCACCGTGGTTGTTAGTCTCAGCAGGTGAGAAGTGTGCCAGTGTTGCCTCACCAGACAGGGCCGAGCCCCAAGACCCTCCCCACTCCCACCGCTACCTCAACTCGAGTGGTTGGGCTTCTGCGTGCAATTTCACTTGAAGAAAGAAATCCGTGGGTTAGAACCTGAGAATCACTGCGCTAGCCCAGTTCCCTAAATTGGCTGCCAGGGAAACAGACCTGGAGACCTGGGGACACAGCAGTGAGTTTCCGAGGCCCTCCAATTAGTGGTGAGCTGGGGACCAGTAACCCAAATGCCTAGACTAGTTTTAGGCCCAAAGGTATTGAACCTTGTGTATGTCACACACACACGCACACGCACTCACACCTGGTGGCTGGGGAGCATCTCCTGAAGGTGCCTCCCCTTTGGACTTCTCCCAGGTGTCATCTGTGGAGCTGTGTTCGGATGTATCTTCGGTGCCGTGGTGATTGTGGCTGTTGGAGGGTTCATCTTCTGGAAAAAGAAAAGGTGACTGTTGCTTGCATTAATAATAATGGACTATGTTTTGAAGACAGCTTTTTATTGTGGGCAATTTCACTGTTACACAATCGGAGGGAATGGTGTCTCGAGCCCCAGGGCCCCCTTCTCCACAGTCTCGATTGTATGAATAGTCTTAGTTCATCTCCACCCCGAGCTGGGGGACTTTAAAGCCGATCCCAGCCCTGACGTCAGGCCGTGGGTAAACACTGCGTGTAGGTCGCTCCTTTTATTTACTTATTATTTATTTAAAATATATTTTATTGATTTTTTACAGAGAGGAAGGGAGAGGGATAGAGAGTTAGAAACATCAATGAGAGAGAAACATCCATCAGCTGTCTCCTGCACACCCCCTACTGGGTATGTGCCCGCAACCAAGGTACATGCCCTTGACTGGAATCGAACCTGGGACCCTTCAGTCCGCAGGCCGACGCTCTATCCACTGAGCCAAACTGGTTAGGGCAGGTCGCTCCTTTTAAACAGTGCGTTCTAGTTCACAAACCGGTTTCCAGGTGTTAAGAGATTTCCGTTTAGAGTTAGCTAACTTTGGACACGGGCCCTGTCTCTGGCTCAGCATTATTGTCCTCGTGTGTGAAGGGTGCGGGGCGGGGGAAACAGTGTCTAACTCATGATGCTGAAGAGCATTAAATAAACAAAGTGCTTTGCCCAGTGCTTGCGCCTGGTGTGCTATGACCAGCATCTGTACAACTACTGTTTGAGGGGGTTAAATGGCTCCGTTTTGAGTGCTTACCGGGTGCCTGCGTTTGTGCTTCCCTCGAATTCTCACTCGAGGCAGGTCTTGCAGGCCCCATGGCAGGGAGGAGCTGAGTGTCGGAAGTGCGGAGACAGACGTGAAGCTGGTCTTCGCTCTGGCGTACCCTCTTGCCTGGCTGTGTGCTGTGTGACGCCTGCATCTCAGCCGGGATGCATCGCTGTCATCAGGCCAAAGGACTTCCCTCCGGCCCAGGGTTTCTAGTGGGGCCTCACAGGTTCTCCTCCACCACCTTGGCCTATTGAGTTGATAGGCAGTGCTCACCGTTCAGTGTTTTGCATTAGATTCTAATACTTTTTTTGTTTTTTGCAAGGGAGGGGCCCCAACCAGCTTTATTGTGTCTTGTTAAAATAAAAGTGATACCTGCTGTGTCAAAAAACCAAGAATCAAAGCGAAAGAAGAGCAAAGGAAATAGATAATCCATAATTGTAGCATATGAAACGACCCTTAACATGGATGTAATTACAAAACTCACACAAAGTCGTACATGCATACACACAAGTGGAACCATGTGATACATATTGTTTTCCAGCCTGCTTTATTCACTTTAAGACGTGGGTAACTTCATTTCTTCTTCACTTTAAATGGCGACAGCGTATTCAGCTCTGTGGATATTGTTTAACCAATTTCCTAATTTTTTTTCTTTGCCGCAGTTATTTATCCTTGTGCCTAAACCTTTGGGCACATTCATGATTATTTCCTTAAATTCCAAGCGGGCAGCAGCTGAGTCAGGGGGTATACATGTTTTTGATTTTGATACTAGAGCCAAATTCTCTTCCAGAAAGTGTTCTCTTCCATATGGGGCTTAGCCAAGAGTGCAGGAGAGCAGCAGGCGCCCCACTACCTTCCCTGTGCTGGCTGTAGTTTCTGGTTTATTTTATTAACGGATCAGAAAGGCTTTATAAAAGCAGAGTATGAAACAGCGAGTCTCACTTTAAAGTAAGGTAATGCTGCTGATACCTATTTATGCCAGGGGTTTCCTCAAAGCCGCTGAGGAGGAGCCGTCCACACTTTGAGATGGTGCAGAGAGCATCTCCTCAGGTCTGTGCAGTCAGCATTGGTTGCTTAGGCCGTTAAGCTTGGTGTCGTATATGGATTAATGCCCAGGGAAAGGCATTTCATAGATACATGAAAGGGAAAAACCACAGAATTAACCTTTTTTTTCTTGTCTAATGTTTGTTTTTTTTCCCTTTTAAAACAGGAAAGATGCAAAGAGCAATGAAGTGTCCTTTTCGCAGATTAAGTAAGTCTCTAGTGTTATGAGCTTTATTTTAAGACGTCCCATCCCCCATCCGTTCAGTAACGGTCTAGACAATTTTTGATGGAAACTGCTGTCCCTTTTCCTGATTGACACATTTCGCCAGGAGCGTCCAGAAGCTCTTGCTGGCTTTGTTATTCTGCGAGGAATCTGTGGGGGGTCGCTCTCCTGCACTAGCTTCTTGCCATGGCCACTATGGCAAGTAGGACCCTATGTACGACATTCTACCAACACTTCCACAAATAAATAGATATTTTGCGATTAAAAAATAGGCTATTAAGATCTAGGAGCAGAGAATGTGCTCAGAGTTACAAAGCTGAACAGTTACGTCACGGGGCCTAGAAGTTGAATTCCCGAATGCACGTTTCTGAGTTTTGTAAATAACATGCCACTGACCCCTCCACCAACACTCCCTCCCTCCAGAAAAGTATACTATGGATTTTCTCCTTTTGGGAAGCTGTTTACTGTCACCTCCAGAGGCATGGTTGGTTGAGTCATTTTTTTCTAATTGCCTATTTTTTTTTCTTTCCCTTTCTATGGTGAAGACCTAAAAAGTGAGTAAGCTCTTGGCTTTTTAAAAAATAACTCGCATTTTTCTATTTTAGACTTGGTTGAACGTATAACGTCCTAATACGTTGTTTTGTTTTCTTAGATCCAAGCTAGTCAGAGTGGAGAATTTTGAGACTTACTTTAAGAAACAGCAAGCTGACTCCAACTGTGGGTTTGCAGAAGAATATGAAGTATGTGGTTGTAAATATTGTGCTTTCTATTGCTTCGTTTTCCCTGAAAGTTGTAAAACTGCCCATTTTCGTTTTATGGTGAAGCTCCGGGTAAGAGGCGGCCAGCTGGGAGGGGACAGCAGCTCTTGTGTTTCCCCCGGGGTCACACTGCTGCCATGTGGCCTGTGAGCACTTAGATCAGGGTTGGGAACGTCCATCCTCCTTATACGGCCCATGAAATCATTTGGTCTGGCCCTGCCAAGGCATTAGGGGTGAGTTAATTACATGTTTGACCAATATAGCAGGCTAATGTTTAAGTTGGTAATTTCGTATGGCCTGTGAACGATGTTATAAATATCCAAATGGCCCTTTGCAGAAAAAAGGTTCCCCACCCGTGACTTACTTGTAGATGGACCTTTGATTCTCGTTAGTGTTGATACCTAAAGGTTATGCAGAGATACAGAAACTGGGAATTCAAGCTAGAGGGCTGTTAACTATATTTGAACACTAACTCAATGGACAACTTATGTGTTTTATTTTCAGGATCTGAAGCTTGTTGGAATTAATCAACCTAAATATGCAGCTGAACTGGCTGAGAATAGAGGGAAGAACCGCTATAATAATGTTCTGCCCTGTAAGTTGTTTTTTTCCCCACATGGCCTTCCTGTTTTTCCTGTCCTTGGCCATCGCTGCTTAGCAGTGGAAGGAAGGGGAATCAAAATACCAACTAGCCACTTCCACAACCGTTCATTAGTCACCTGCTCTGTGCTAAGCCTTGTATTCCGGCGTCTTCCATTGAATCCAGTCCTCACGACAACCTTATAAAATAGGTAGTGGGATATTTATTTTGCAAATGGGGAAAATGAGGCACAGAGTAGCTAAGTGACTTGTGGCAGGACCAGGCTTGGGCGAGGTCAGTCTGTCTTTGTTTTTTAAATACATATTTATTGATTTCAGAGATGAAGGGAGAGGGATAGAGAGATAGAAACATCGATGAGAGAGAAACATCACTGGTCGGCTGTCTCCTGCACACCCCCTACTGGGGATCGAGCCTGCAACCCAGGCATGTGGCCTGACAGGGAATGGATCCTGTGACCTCTTGGTTCCTGGGTGGATGCTCAATCACTGAGCCATACCGGCTGGGCTGTAGGTTTTGAGGAAAAGGTAAATTGCTGAGTGTGTTACCTGGCTCGTGGCTCTCACCCAAGGATGCTCACAGCGGTGGATTGTGTCGTCTGAGAAGGTGGGGTGGCCTGGTTGAGAGCTGGGGCCCTGGTGCCAGGCTGCCTGGATTCGATCCTTGATTCTGCCACTGACTGCCACGTAGCCCCTCTGTGCCATGGTGACGTAGGGGGACTGTGAGGATTAAATGTGGCCGCATGTGTAAATGCTACCCTGTGTCCCCCCGAGGGGTGACAGGGCCCCTGTGCCACCTTGTACCTCTTTTCCTCTCTTGTATGTCTCTCTCCTCAAATGTTTGCTTCTCACGAGGACCGTTTTTCCTTTTAAACCCGCAGATGATATTTCCCGTGTCAGAGAGAAAGTCCAGACCCATTCAGCCGACGACTACATCAATGCCAACTACATGCCTGTAAGTGGGGAGAGGTCCTCAGGGCACTGGCTTGTTGGGGTGACCTTCAGAGCTCCCCTTTCTGTTCCTTTGACATTGAATATGTGTGGCTTTCCGTTTCTAGGGCTACCATTCCAAGAAAGATTTCATTGCCACACAAGGACCTTTACCCAACACTTTGAAAGATTTTTGGCGTATGGTTTGGGAGAAAAATGTATATGCCATTGTCATGCTGACCAAATGTGTTGAACAGGGAAGGGTAAGCATCTTTTAAAAATTATATATCATTAAATTTATTCTTTTTTTTTTTTTTTTACTGTGGAAGGTTAAGTATCTTAAACACCATTTATCTTTTTAATTCTTTTCCATTTGTCTTTAAAAACACACATACTTCACCAAACATTAGCATCTCTAGTCTTAGAAACTTGTTTCTGTCTTTATATTTTCAAGTGAAAAGTTAAAAAATAATCTTATTTAAAATAACATAGAATAAAACTACAGAGTAAAAAAAAACCCTTTAAAAACCTATTTTATTATTACCTTCATTTGTGGACATTTAATACTCTCGGTTCATTAAGTCACTGCTGCTGGGGTTGGTTAATTCCAGGAGGTGGGTAGATAGCCAGGCCTGGAACAAGATGCTGCTGCTCACGGCCCAGCTCCCCTCCAGCTCTGTGGTTGGGTGCAGGCGTCGTGTTTCTAAGCAACCAGCGTTGTCTGTGAGACGGGTACTCGACCAACCTGGTGATTTTCAAACATGGTTTTTAGCACTGGAAACTTTTCTTGATGCAAAATCTTAGCCTTTCCCCCAGATACGTCTCAGCAGTCCCCTCTCCCTTGTGATGTCTTGGAATCCCTTGGCTGTTTCCATGAAAGATAAGATTTCTGCTAGTATTAAAACCCCACGTGTCCATAAATGGGTCTGCGGAGAATTGGAAAACATGCTGACTTCAGGAATTCTGTGCCCGAGGAATGGGACCTAATGTTGCTCTGTGAATTTTTCCTCGTAGGTTTTTTTCTTGAAGAATAGGATAGGACTCAGGTCCCTAGACCAGTGGTTCTCAAGCTTGAACGTACATCAGAATCATCTGGAGGGAGGTTCCACCTTTAGAGTTTCTCATTCAGAGGGTCTGTGGGGCCCCAAGAATTGCATTCGGCCAGTTCCCAGGGGCTGATGCTCCTGCTTTGAGTAGCACTGTGCTAGGGGATGGTGGGAACCTGCCATCATTTCTTTTTTCATTTTATTTATTTTTATTGATTTCAGAGAGAGAAAGGGAGAAGGAGTAGAGAAACATCAGTGATGAGAGAATCATCGATCAGCTGCCTCCTGCACACCCCACACTAGGGATTTTGAACCTGCAACCTGGGCATGTGCCCTGACGGGGAATTGAACTGTGACCTCCTGGTTCATAGGTCCACACTCAACTACTGAGCCATGCTGGCCAGGCAGACACCATTTCTTTTAATGTTCTTTTCTTCCCTTTCATATAGCAGATATTTTCCCAGCCCAAGATTGTGTAAGGTCCTGTGGCAGGGGCTGGGCATAAAGGAGGGAAAGGTAGCAAAGAACAGTGAGAGATGGTTCCCATCTTCTTGTGATACAGAAGGTAGAACTTTGCAACCCCTTCTGGTATCAGGAGAACAGCCCATTAATGCGCACAAGAGCACATCGATTATGAATGTACATGAAGGTTATGGGCTGTTCAGCCCAGGGCCTCACACATGGAACATTCTTATAAATATCTGTTAGACAAACAAAAGTGATGTATTTAAATGAACAAAGACCATGAGGATGACTTTAGATGGACCTTTGTTCATCTTAGCTCAGGGGAAGTGGATGATACTGATTCTGGGTGAAAGGGGAAGGGAGCCAGACTATTTTCTGCACAAGATGCTCCATATATGTTATTTCTTTCCTATAACCGCCCTGTGAGGTATTATCAGTATTTCATAGATGGGAAACTGAGCTCAGGGAGTTTAAGAACTTGCCCACAAGGTGGCAACAAAAATCCAGCTGGTTAAGAGATGGAGCTGGAAGTCGACTCCATGTCCGTGTATGTTCAAGTTCTGTGTTCTTTCTTGGAGCAATGGTCCAGAAACTGGGATCTTAGGAAAAATGCAGGCTCCATGCCTGGGTTGGAGTTTCTGGAGGTAGGATCCAGGCATCTGTTTTTAAAGCTGAATAGATCTCCCAGGTCAGTCAATCTGGTAACCAACCAGGTTTGGAAGCCACCAGTTGTAGCGCATACCTTAGAAAGTTGAGTATGTGTGTGCTGTTGTTTGCCAAATGGGGTTGCAGATATTCTTGGAGAGCAGTCATTTCTTTTCTTTTTAAAATTTATCTTTATTGTTGAAAGTATTATAGATGTCCCCCCGCCCCATTGACTCCTTCTAGCCCGCTCCCGCCCCTTGCCCAAGGTCTTCACCACCCTAGAAGAGCAGTCATTTTTTGATTTTTTTTTTCTGTTCACATTTGCTCACCAATTTATAGGATCAAAGATCCTAAAATGATTTCATCCGATCGTCTTTACTGGTGTCTATATTTGTATGGCAGTTAGCGTGTCTGTGACGGTATGGGGCGCAGGTCTCATTTCTTCCAGCTGCACATGGTTCTGGGCCGTCGAAGTTTAGTTCAGTGAACAGTCATGGAGGGGCTGCTGTGGGGGCTGCTGTAGGGGCCACAGGGGACTGGGTGGCACTGCGTCCCCTGAGAAGTTACAGCTGCTGCTTAGCTCTAACTCAATTTTCATGCAGAAATGCGTGCTCAGTGTTGGCCAGATCTGATTTTTCAAGAGAAGCCAGAAATCTGGGTTCCTGTGAGAAATCTTTCAATTTTAAAAGAGTTGGCAACAGTTGTAAATCAAAACACACACACAATTTTAAGAGTCAAACAGAACCCAACGGAAGGACTTAGTCCCTGATGCCAGTGGTCAATATCTGGGTCTCGCTTGAGAGGCTTCAGTGATAGCAGACAGTGTGATCTCAGTCTTTGTATAAAAATGCACTTTTAGCCCTGGCCGGGTGGCTCCGTTGGTTAGAGCACCATACCAATATGCCACAGTTGGGGGTTTGATCTCTGGTCTGGGCACATACAGGAATCAACTAATGAATGCACAAATAAGTGAAACAACAAATTGACATTTCTGTCTCTGTCTCTTTCAAATCAATCAATAAAATAAAATAAAAAATGCACGTTTATTCTAGACCAAATGTGAGGAGTACTGGCCTTCCAAGCAGGCCAAGGACTATGGGGACATAGCTGTGGCAATGACATCCGAGATTGTTCTTCCAGAATGGACCATCAGAGACTTCATAGTGAAGAATGTAAGTAGGTGGTCAAGATGGCCGGGTCTCCTAGAAAATGACCGTATGCTAATTTCAGGGGTGATACTTTTTAGGTTAATATTAACCAGTATTTTTTATGCATTCAAAAAATGTTTTTGCTTTCTTCTTTACAGAATAAAACAATTCATATCTATACACACTCTAAGGCAACCCTGTAGCCTTACTTTCTTAAGGAGCATTTCATGTTATTCTTAAATAAAATGGACCTTAATGGCTCAGCATCCATAGCTCCTTTCTTATCACTTCCTGCGGACTTCTCACAGAGTTTTTGTTACAAACCAAGGCCCTTTTGTATTAGTTGGTAGGAACTGTGACACCAGGAGCAGCCATTTCCTGTTGCAGTTTCATTAATAGGATTCCCGAGCATGTACACATGGCTTCCCTAACCCCCCAAAATTGTGAAAACAAATCCAATAAATTGTGTAGGCACTTTAGGAAGTCAGCTTATGTGTCTCTTCTCTTTTGTTCAGGGTGTTTAAAAATAGAAGCAGTTTCAGGAAGCGACATTAGCTTCTGATGGGCATGCAAATGGGCATAAGCCTTTGCGGTTTATTATCAAGGGCATAAAAATGTCCATTTCCCTTTGGTCCGGTGGTTCCAAGTTTGAGAATCTATTCCAAAGAATCAATCTGCAATATAGGAGAAGGCTTGTTATTCATAAAAATGAATCTCAGCATTATTCGTAATGGGAGCAGGGGTTTGGAAACCATGCAAATATCTAGCTTTTGGAGAATGGAGAGCTAAGCTATAGGTTATCCAGTCATTGTGTCATTATTCAGCTGTTAGTAATGAAAGCTATGTAAACTGGATAATTGCCATGAACATAATTAAGTGAACATGCTAGGAGACCAAATTTTATGCACATTATGAATAATATATAAAAGGAAAGCCCGGAAGTGGACTCATTGGTGTTGAATTTTATGGGCTGGGGGTTGGTGGGTTAGATACAAATGTACGAGAATTATCCTTGAAGATTTCCATAAGTTATGGATGCAGTGTGTCATATTAAGTATTAACTCTTTACTAATTGCTGTGTCTCAAAGGCTCTCGCCTTAGCTAATGGTTTATTCCTTTCAGGGACATGCTGTCCAAACTCTTATCATGCACTTGTGTTGGCTGCATAAATAATGCAATTTATAATAGTGGAGAATTCTTTAAAATGTCACACATATTTCTATAGATTTCACCCATTTAAAATGAACTGGCTTATCCTTGGTTGCTTTTACTGCTTGGGGTTCACCCTTGTAGAAGAGAATTGTGGGTGGAATTGTCCACGTCATTTAAAAATTACTGTTACTATTAATACTATTTTTATTAACTAAACTTCAGATTTTATTCGGATTTCACCTTTTTCTATTAAAGCCCTTTCCTGTTCCTGGACCCAATCTAGGATACCGCATAGCATTTAGTAAAATATTTACTTTTTAATCACAGAAAATGCACATGCATATTTTCGTTTTTAGAAGTGGAAACATAACAGGTAGAGTGAAAAGTTTCTTTTGACTGTCACCCCTCACCTGGGCTCCTTTGTGTCCCTGTAGAAATCATATTGACAAGTCCGACCTTCCCTCTTCCCTTCTCTCCTCTTGCCTGTCAAGGCTGGCTGGCTTTTTTTGGGTGAAGACTTTTGGTTAAGTTTGTGAATGTTACATTTGTGTGTGATGGGGCTTCACAGCACTCTCTCCTGTTTCTGCCTTGTTTTCCACATTTTGAGGAATGTGAATGCACCGTGTTTATAACGTATATGCGTTTTTTAAAAAGCCTCAAAGGGTAGCTGTCATAAAGGAGGTGGCAATGCCTGCAGCCCAGATGTAGGCACTCACGGTGCAGTCCATATGTGGACACACACCGGTGTTGGCAGTGCCTGGCTGTGGACCTCATGAGGACGGTTGAATCAGGGACAGGAATGGCCCAGCCTGAGTGGAGTTCTGATCAGCAATGCCCATGCTCCCATCCTGGTAGGAAACCCGTCCGTGTAATAATTAACTGGTAACAGGGTTCACTTTCTATTGTCTGTCTGCTGTTGACATAGATTTTTTTTTTTGGATGGGGGGAGGTCCTTTCTCAAATTCTAAATATTTCCTTGGTGCTTGCTATTTGCCTACCGTGTTATTAAATTCTCCGGAAGATGTGAATTACGAGGCAGTTCTTGCTCTGAGGGCACCGAGTGTCTCAGCTGGATTCGATACATTTATTTTAGGTCAGTGACATTCCCAGGTGGGCTTTGGGATGGGCTTTAGGAAGCTCTAAGGAGTGGTAGATGTGAATGTGAGTGCACTATAGGCAGGAAGCTGTGGTGGGAAAGGGAAGAGGTCTGAACCCAAATGCAGAGGGTGAGGGACTTCTACCACCTATGCCGAGTGTTGGGGACATCACTTTACTTCTTGGAACTTTTGCTCCCTTGTTTTTAAAGGTGGAATAATAAACCCTCCGGCTTGGGTATGTTATGAGGAATTGATGAGTATACTGAAGTTTGTGTAAGCACATTATTAGCTGTTGCACCAAAATAAAATTCTAATTTCTAGTTGTAACCACTCCTGGTTAAAGCCACCGTTCAGCCATTTGGTCCAGCTCAGCATTCAGGTACTGCTTCGTTTCACAGCCTTTCTGATGTTGCCAGGCAGCTTTTCTCTCAGGCTCTACCCTCTAGTTTCTTCTTTTTTTTAAAAAAATATGTTTTCATTGATTTTTGGAGAGAGAGGAAGGGAGAAATAAACATAGAGGTGAGAGAGAAACATTCCTTGGCTGCCTCCCATACATGCCCTGTCTGAGGACTGAACCTGCAACTTGGGCATGTGCCCTGACCAGGAACCGAACCGGGACCCCTTGGTACATGGGGCAACACTCAAGCAACTGAGCCACACTGGCCAGCTCTAACCTCTCGTTTCTTTTCTTGGCTTTTAGAAGCAGACAAGTGACAGTCACGCTCTGCGACAATTCCACTTCACATCCTGGCCTGACCACGGGGTTCCCGACACCACTGACCTGCTCATCAACTTCCGGTATCTGGTCCGTGACTACATGAAGCAGAGTCCTCCCGAATCGCCAATTCTGGTGCATTGCAGGTAGGCAGGGGGCGCTTCACCTGAGGCAGATTTCCAAGGCAATTACAAGTACGGACACTTTTGAAAAGCAAGATCTAGATTGAACACAGTAGGCATTTCAATTTATAGATTCAGGAAAGGTTAAGATACGGGGCCACAACTTAGTCCCTAAATCCTGGGACAGGGAATGGCAAACTAAATAGCTTGTGGGCCAGATCTGGTAGGTTGTCTGTATTTTTTTTTTAAAACTAGAATGTAGTTTAACGTATTTCTTATTTATAATACTTTCTTCTAAAACATTTCAATCTTACAAAAATATAGAGGAGAATACCAATTTATAAAGCATGCCATGAGACCATATGTGTTTCTTTTTGTTAATAGTGCATTCTAGATATAAAGTCTCCACCTACCAGTCTCCTATCCCATTCTCCTTATGCAGGTGAATGTAGTCCTAAGATCATGTGCATTAGTCCCTTGTGTGCTTCCATGTTTTATTGCATATGTACACATCTCTCTGGTTTCATACAGCTTTAAACTTTCACCAGGTTTTATTGTGCATCCATCATTCTGCAACCTGCTTTCTTCATTCAGCATATTGGTTTGTTATGTAACAATATTGAAACACATAATTCCAGTTTGTTTTATTTATTCACTTAAAATATTTTTTTGACATATAAAAAACTGCACGTAACTTAATATATACAACCTGATAAGTGTGGGGATACGTATATGTACCCATGGCACTACCACCACAATCTATTTTGCTGCCTATTTTTGTGAAGTTGTACTGGGCCACAGCCATGCTCATTTGTTGGCATATTGTCTGCAGTTACTTTCACGCCACAGTGGCAGAAAGAGGCCACTGGCTGGCAAAGCCGAGGATATTAACTGTCTGGCCCTTTGCAGAAGTTTGCCACCCCCTCCTCTAGAACAATGACATGAGCTTAAAAGCGAATGGGTGAATTTAAGACAGAAGAAAGGAGACTATGTGTTGCACTCTGGGGAATAAATTGATGAAACTTGCCATCCTAGCTTATGGTGGCAACTTGACTGGGCTTGAGATCCAAGAAACTCTAGCAAGGTGTTTTTTTTTTTATATATATTTTTTAATTGATTTTTTACAGAGAGGACGGGAGAGAGAGAGAAACATCGATGAGAGAGACATGGGTCAGCTGCCTCCTGCACGCCCCCTACTGGGGATGTTCCCGCAACCAAGGTAACGGAGAGAATTATTGATCGGCTGCCTCCTGCACGCCCCACACTGGGGATTGAGCCTGCAACCCAGGCATGTGCCCAGACTGGGAATCAAATCATGGTCTCCTGGTTCATAGGTCGATGCTCAACCACGGAGCCACACCAGCTGGGCTAGCACAGTGTTTTATATGTGGCATTTAACTCCAAAGGAAGGAACTTGAGGATTTGGGCCGCCGCCCCACGCTGGTGCATTCTGATGTGCTGAGGTTTCAGTTGAGCAAACATTTAATGATGCCGGGCTCTGCCCTCACAGCCTGGTGATGGAGGAGAGCACACACATGCACAGGGAGGGGAAGCTGTCCAGCAGAGGTCACCCACGGAGACATGTTTGTTCCCCTTCCCTTCTAGTGCGGGCGTTGGAAGGACGGGCACTTTCATTGCCATCGATCGTCTCATCTACCAGATAGAGAATGAGTACTCCGTGGACGTGTACGGGATTGTGTATGACCTTCGCATGCACAGGCCTCTAATGGTGCAAACAGAGGTGAGGCCAGCATCTGTTGGACAACCCACCCTTCCTGTCTGTTCATGTCACGCACTCGTGTTAAACTGTTTCACCCTTCCAGATCCTTCTGGCTCCTGGCCGTGATCTAACACTGGATTTCTCTAAGATCCTTAAGTGACATGGGCTTGGACTACCCGATACAGTGACCCGTGGTACCGATATCAGTGATGGTGCTACAACCCTAGACAGGATCCTTACCCACGGCCACCGACTCACCCAATTATCTCAGCAGGTCCCTGAACTTTGGCTTCCCGATTCAACAGTCATAAAATTGGCCTTTTCGCTCTTTGTTTCTGCTTTTTAAAAAAAATATGTTTTTATTGATTTCAGAGAGAGGGAGAGAGAGGGATAGAAACATCAATGACGAGAGAGAATCATTGATCAGCTGCCTCCTGCACGCTCCCTACTGGGGATCGGGCCTGCCACCTGGGCATGTGTCCTTGACCGGAATCTAACCGTGACCTCCTGGTTCATAGGTTGATGCTCAACCACTGAGCCACCCCAGCTGGGCTCACTCTTTTTCTAAGAATCTCTGGTCATACTTAAAGTAAACTAGTGAAACAGACTTATCAGATATTAATAATGTGAAATAGCATAATGTGGCTTTAAGCGTGAATATAGCCATGTATCCCAGCCTTGTGCCGGTTAACAAACAGCAGGTCCATAGCTGTGGGAGGATGGTAGGCGACTGAGAAAGGGATGCTTGGTAGCTACGGTGCCGCTGTGTAGCACTGTTAGGCTGGCTGTCCCTGACATGTTCCCGGCAGGCCGTTCCTAGGCATGTTCTCAACACATATATTGGGAAGTGGCCCTTCTCAAAGCTGCAGGGTGAATGTGCCTCGGCCAGGATGAGAGCAGCATGTTCATTTTGTATCGGGCTGTCGCTGTGAATATGTGCCCTGTTTCTGAGTCCAGCAGGGAATGTTCTAGAGGCCTGGGTACGTGGTGTGCTTTGGGGTGAGCAGCGTGGTTGTGGTGCAAAGTGTGGAATTGCCCTCCTATGTTGGTTGTTAGAGACATTTTCTTTTTTTTGCTACAATTATGTAGAGTAGCTGTCCTCTATCTTTTTTCCTCTTTTGAGAGAAGCAGAAATCTTAGACCTGCTTACACATGACTTTCATGTCCCTTTTTAAATTTTGAAAATAATATTAACTGTCAATATTAAAAAATCTGACAAAATACAGGGTATATTTTTCTCTTTTACTTTTTTCTTCCCCACTCACACTCCCTGGAAGTAGCTATTGTTTACAACTTGTGTGTATCTTCATAGGCTTCTTGATGTACAGCTGCAGAAAAACACATGCACACACACACACACACACACACACACAACACACGACATGGAGTATTTTTTAAAAATGAAACCCTATTTTATATATGCTATTGCCCTGCAATTTATTTCCTCTTACAGCATCATGGATATTTTTCTGTGTTGGCCTCTTCTTCCTCTTTTAATGGATATTACCGATCTGATATGCTGCCTACAGGTGGTCCCCACCCAATTCTACCCCGATCACCCCCCTTAACCTCACCTCCTCTGTTGAGATTCACAGTTTATTCCTTATTCTGCACATCCTCACTAGCCAAGAAAATCTTTTAGAGTTTTTTATGATGTGAATGTACGTGTGCATTACCACCTCCACATCCTTCCATTGCCCTTCTGCACGATTCCGGTATTTCTCCTTGGATGTGACACAGACACATGGCGATGGGAAGTTGGGGCTGCCGGGGGCTGTGGGTGGAGGCACATTCCCCGTTGCCGGTGGGATGAATTTACTTTTCATTCCTTGATAAGGATGGAAAACCAGAAAAAGTGAGCATGTTTTTGTTTTTTTTTCTTTTTCAAATCAGATTTTTTTAAAAAGACTGTTTTATATGATCCACACGCGAAAGCCAGGATCGTGTTGGGTTGGATATATTTTAAGGGTCAGAGGTCTGTTTTACCTACTGAATCTTGGAATCTTGCTGAGGGGAGGGCTGGGGAGTCTGCCCCTCCGGCTGAGACTCATTGATGGTGAGGTTCTTGCTCTCTAGAAAGTGATTACCCCTGGACGCGTTAACCTGAAGTGTCTGCTGTGGGGCGGGTGCGGTTGGGGAGCGGGAATGAGTTTGCAAATAAGGGTGGATGCTGAGGCCCGGGACCTGTGCTCACGTGCTTCCTTCTCTCCCCGTGTCCAACAGGACCAGTATGTTTTCCTCAATCAGTGTGTTTTGGATATCATCCGGTCCCACAGGGACTCGAAAGTGGATCTCATCTACCAGAACACAACCGCAATGACAATCTACGAAAACCTGGCCCCTGTGACCACGTTTGGACAAACCAATGGTTACATCGCCTGATTCCAAAGGAAAAATCTCTCTGGAGTTAATGAGGCCACCACACCCACAGCAAAGGAAGATGCCCAGATGTGGACATGCGTTTAGATGTCTAATATCTTAATTCTTTGTTCTGTTTTGTTAGAACTAATTGAGGGTGTGAAGCTGCCCACGTAACACGTGAGAGATGAGAAGTTGGGGCTGTTGGGGGCTGTGAATGGGTGGTGAGCCAATCAGCTGCATTCCTGGTCCCCGTGGGAGGAGTTCACTCTTTTCCCTTGAGAATGATGGAAAACCAGGAAAAGTGAGCTATGATTCTTTTTTTTCTTTTTCAAAACAGATTTTTTTTTTTTAACAAAACAAAACTATTTTATATGATCCACATGGGAAAGCCAGGATCGTGTTGGGTTGAATATATTTTAAGTATCAGAGGTCTATTTTTACCTACTGAATCTCGGAATCTCGCTGATGGAAGATGCAGAACTGTGGACGATGATCATGCAGGGAGGGGCAGGCGGCGCCTCTCCTGCCGGTTTTCTATTTGAACATGTGCCTTTTCTGAATTATGCTTCCACAGGCAGAACTCAGAAGATTTCTCTATTTTTGTATCGAATCTCATAATTGGACTCTGCAGAATATTTAAATGGTAGTTTAGTATCAGAGGCTCAGCCTTCTCAGTAACATTCCTAATCTTGAAAACCCTACAGTGATGGACTGACTACCCTTTTCTAGTCCCTGTTTTTTCCCTTTTTTCTCATTTCGTATTTGGTAAGAAGGATTATTTAAAGGTGCAATATGTGACTAGTGATTCCTGATGCTCTAGGTTCTTAGCAACGTTTTACTCAGGTTGGCATTTTATGTGTCTGTGTGTGTGTGTGTGTGTGTGTGTGTGTGTAAATGCGTGGCAATCTGTGAACACGTCAGTGTGAATACAGTGTCAGAGTAATTCCTCCTCCTTCGAAGTCCACTGGCTTTAGTCTGTCTGCAGTGACACATATTGATATCTACTGTATATATATATAGATACTAAACTCTCAAAAACAGTCATTCCTTTGAATTGAGGTGTACAAAGTTTGAATTTGTATCAAGATGTAATTATTATTTTTAAAACCTCTTTTCACTATACTGCTGCTGTAATTACTTTGATTTTTAAAAAAATGTAGATTAACTTTTTTTTTTCTTCAGGTGTGTATCCACCAAGAATTTCAGAATTTATGTGGGTTAATTTTATTGGTACACAATCTGTAAACTTCTCAAGGCATTAACATGAAAGGATTTGTTTCTTTTTATTTTATACTGTGGCTCAGGTTCTATTGTGAAGAAGTTTTGAGTGTAGCCTCCAATCGGCAACGAAGTACACAAGGTCTTATGAAGGAATGTCCAACCCCCGAAAGCCTGTGGTCCTTGGCCACAGCCATGAGTCCTGCTGTAAACTTAGGATGAATGTGTCCTATTGAAGATGGGAGCGGGGTCCTCTCCGAGCACCCTGCTCCCTGTGGACCCGTGGGAGCCCTTCTCCTGACCCTGCCTCGCCCCTCAGCTCACTGGCACTTTGATAACGGAACTGGACATGTGACTGGGTGTTTGGGGTTAGGAAGGGTGAACCACGACGTACTGATACCCTTGATTCAGTTCAGAGGTCCGTGCTGTACGTCTGTTGTCCCCTGTCCCTTTGAGGTACCGAAAGAATGAAAAGGAGAGGCGGTGATGTCTCGTTTTGGGAGAACTTTACTTCCCAAACAGAAATTGCACTTTTTGCTGAATCCTTTGCTGTCTTTGGTAGTAAGCAGTTCATTCAATGTCAGACCCTTTGAGGAAGGGGTTGGCCCGGCCAGGTCAGGCCCTCTGGACCCCACTTCGGAGGGGCCTTTGGCTGTGTAGGTCTGAATCAAGGAAGCCACACCGTTTTGGGAGGTGGGGTGCAGCCGGGTTTGGGCCGATTGCTTCCAGACCTTCACACTGGTCTGGCCCCCAATGCATGCAGATCTCAGAGTTCCATAGCTTCAGTCAGAGGTCCCGGTTGAGGCAGCAGCTCTGTGGCCACACCCCTCTCCCCTCCAATTTGTCAGGGAACCATTGTGATGGGTCTGATCTGGGTGTCACATCCCATGGAGATGCTGTGCCCCGCCCTGCCCCTCTCATTGCCATGGAGATGTCCGAGGAAAGAGCTTGCCTCTAAAAATCCCTTTAAAATGAATGAAAGCAACAATAATTATCATATTGTATAGAAACTAAAAAAACAGAAACCCTTCTCCCTTCCACCTGGTGTGGGCTTGGGAACTGGGCAGCAGCCGCACGTGCCTCTCCCGCACGTCATTCCCAGTCCCAGAGGAAGGCCTGTGCTGGGAGGTCTGGATTCCACGTGGCAGGTCACACGGAGGTCACCATGCCTCTCTGCATCCTCAAGACGCCGTGGACGGGGTGGTGAGAGTATTTATAGCACAGGGATTGCCAACGGAGATTCCTGTGTAACTATGAAGGACGTGGGGCTGGGGAGATTGGTCATAGGAAAGAGGAAGGTGCTTTTGAGCTCCTGCCCCAAACCCTCCCAGGAACAAATAACTAGAATTGGAGGGACCATGGAGAGGGTGGGATTGCCCTGCATTCGTAGTTGAGTTACATACAGAAAAGCAGCCAGGGTGGGGTGAGTGGTCCTTGGTTTGGGGGATTTGGGTCATTGGATCTCTCCTCCAAGCGAAGACGTTTTGCCTCCAAAGGTAAATCGAGTGATGATAGGCACCAGGAGGCAGTGACATCTGGGGTGTGTTCTCTGTGAGCATGCAGTGACAGCTAGATGTGGCCCCATTGGCTCCCTTGGATTTGGGCTTCGTCAGTTAGAGGCTCCAGGATGGGAGTGGGGGTGGGGGGGACCCACTCTGATCAGCAGCTGATTCACGGTTGCTTTTCACGTAGATGAAAAAGCCTGGTTCGCTTTTGGAATGGTTGGTCGCGCTTACTGAGTGAAACAAGACTTGGTGACTGATGTTGATTTGCCTCCAAAGTCCCAAGTTCTGCGTTTTCAGACTGTCCAGAGCAGCCGAGCATTCAACATACTGTAGCTTTTTTCTTTTTTTTTTTTACCTCCTGTGGGGCACATAAGGGTAGGATGTGTTGATGTAGACTCTAAAACTGTAATTTTCTTGTAACTATTTTGGAATGATGCATATTTCTAAATGTTTGTTATACTTGTACAGAGTATTGCTGTTGGTTGCTTTTCTTTGTTTTTTAAGGAAAAAATGGCCTGAAAATTTTTTTTAAAGACTTACAAATACCAAATATAAAAAAATGTCAACACATTATGCCTTTGTTTATTTCTTCTCCCCGCCCCTCTGCCCCTTACTTGGTGTCTGCACCATTTCATTTACCACTCGGTTTACTGCCCTGCGTTCAGCGGGGGTGTCCTCGACAAAAACACGCTTCCCTGTGGGACTTCCCACTTCCCATTAGTTTGCTGGGGCAGCCGTAACCAGGTCCCACAGACGCGGGGCTGAGGCAGCAGACATGTAGTTCTCACAGCTCTGGAGGCGAGATGGCCAAGATGAAGGTGTCAGCAGGGCTCGTTCCTTTCGTGGCTTGTAGTTGGCCGTCTCCCTGTGTCCTCACATAGTCGTCCCTCTGTTTGTGTCCGTGCCCCATTCTCCCCTTCTTCTAAGGACACCAGTCATAGTGGATCAGAGGCCACCTTTGTGACCTAATTTTACCTTCATTACCTCTTGAAAGTCCCTGTCTCCAAAGACATTCACATTCGGAGGTACTTAGGGAGACACATCCAGGGAGATTAAGGGAAAAGGAGGCTTGGGAGCATTGAGTGTGCATCTGAGAGGCAGCTGTGTGCTCTCAGAGGGTCCCCACCCAGGTTTTAGGAGGTTTGTTGTTGATGGATTTCGGGAATCCCAGAATTGCTGGGATATGTGGCAATTGGAGTAGTTTTTATTTCATCCCTTTCTGTCATGCTTGATGCAAACACTAAGCAGACAAAGATGACTTTGTTTTGAGATCTCTCATTCCTCTTGCCTGAGCCAAGTTAATCCATTCAATGGTGATACACTAAGTGTCTGCCATGCGCCAGCCCCTGAGGGTATCCATGGTAACACAACGGACGAAAGTCTCGACCCTCATGGAGCGTGGAGTGTATGTTCTCATCAGAAGAGTCAGACAAACAGCATGTAGATAAAATCTTTAGTGTGCTAGATGATGAAAATATAGAGAAAAAGAGCATTTCACTCCCTGATGCAACTCGTCATTTTCACACGACAAGGAGAGCGCTCTCTTCACGTTCTCCATGTGTTCTCCACACAAGCCCTGCTTTGGGGGAAATAAAAGATGTTTGGACAGACACAGTGCACACTTCTCAGGCCGGTCAGGGAGACAAAGATGGATGCAGAGAAGCCCTGCCGGTAGGAGAGGGCAGTCTAGAGGGACGGGCCAGGTGCGTGTGTGGTGCCAATGGAAAGTGAACTGTGAAATGCCAGAGGGAGTTGAAAGGAGCAGGTAACAGGGATCCCAGAAGCATTACTTGGGTGGGGTGGCATCTGAGCTGACTCTTAAGCAGAATTTTAGCAGGAGGATAAGGAGGGTGGGGGAGGCATGGGTGTGGAAGTGCATGCTTTGCTAGGAGCATGGCGAGGCTTCCTGGTGACTGGGATATGAGCGTACAGGAAGGGGTCAGGTGAGATGGTGGTGGCTGAACCTGAAAGGCAAAAGCTCTAGGACTGTACGCGTGGGTGACTAAAACTGTCTCACCTTGAAAATACTGGACCAAGGGGGGTGAGGGCATGAGTGAGGGGGTTTGGGGGGGTAATGAGGGGATGAGGATTAACATATTACTGTATGTTAGTACCTTAATCAATAAAGAAATTTTAAAAAAGTACTGGACCAGGTATGTGTGTATGTACAGACACACACACACACACACATATATGTAAACACACACACACACACACAATTTCACCTTAACTAGGATCTTTGGATGGAAAATGCACGGTAATCACAGGGGTGGCCATGGCAGGATGAAGGAAGGTACCACCAGACAGCTGGCTGGTTAAAGGGAGTTTAGGATATACTTGGCTACAGAGAACAGGGTACACTGAGCACTCTCAGTGGGAGACATGTCTCCTGGGCCTTTAGGTCCCCATTAGGTTCTCCGCAGATCAGGCAGGGTGGTCCCTCAGGCCTTTGGAGGACCCCACCCCCATCCCCACACTTCTCTTCCTCTTATCCTCCTCCTCTCGTCCAACCATATGGAGACTGTGGCTAAATGCTAGCTTGCTTGCCAAGGGCAAAATACCTAGTAAAAGTTTCACTTCATTCTGCGTGGTTTACTGTGACATGTGGGTGAATTAAGGCCAG